CCATCTTTTGGATCTTGAAAGGAGGTAGATCCAGTCTCCTATATGAAAGATGAAGGTGCCAGTTACCTACCTTTCCATCATCCCATGAAGCTGGAGCAAGGGCATGTTGGAATATTAAGCTGAACTTGAAGGAAGAGAAGCAGTTGTCCACGTGGAGATCCAAGGAAGGGCATTTCAGGAAGTGGGAAGAGCCTTTCCAAAGGCCCCAGGGTAGAGGTGTTAAGTGTTTTTGAGAACCAGCAAAAAGGTCAGAGTGGATGAAGGCATGTGAACAAGGGGCCGAGTAGCAGATTGGCAGACATATGTTATACACATTATTCTAAGAACCATTTAAAAGATGAAGTTGGGACCAAGAGATTGTGATTGTGCCCAAGATTGCACAATAAGTGGCAAAACCAGAACTCAGAAGCTCCTCTTCTGATTCCAAGTCTTGTGTTTTTAATCAAGATGCCATTTTAGGTTCACCTCTAGATTGCCTTAACATTTTGTTTATAACTTTGTTGTATATTTTTTGTTAAAGTTATCAGACATCAGGAATCATGCCTTCTCAGGTTGCATTAAATGCAGCACAAAGTTCAGTTAAATGCTTTCTAAATACATTTGATGAATCATTTTAGCAATAGACTTTTCTTTCCACTTTATTGTGGTAGACTTGGCTGAATGTCTTAATTTGGTGCAAATATTTTAGAGTAGATTTATCTGATTATGTAGCAGTTTAGCAAATACATTTTATACGTGTAATATATTATTGATTTTATATCCATTTAAGTTTTTACATTGAATCTAAAGTTACTTATATATTCAAAAACCCAACTAAAGAGACAAATCTTAAAATTGTATTCAATAGTTGAAATTATTCATAGCATACTGTCTTACAGATACACACACACATTCTTGTGTATGATCCATAACTAAATGAGTGCTCCAAGCAAAAATATTTTTAAAATCCCTAATGAAGAAGTCAATGGGTCTTTATTGATGGTATAGCATTGTAACAGACAGATGATTTAATTTGTGTTATTTTAAAAATGTAATTATTAAATATTCATGACATGTTATGCTTTTTGAGACTTAAATACTCATACCAAAATCATATGGTGAAGATAAAATGCAGACAAAGAGTCTGGGTTCCCACAGCCACCGACCCCAAAATGACCTGCTAATAAATGCCAGATTCTCATCTTGTAAAACTCCTATGGGAGAGTAATAAAGGATGAACATTTGGCCCAAAGTTTATTTTTATAAAACAAGTACCTTTAGTTTTCCTTCAAAAGAATCATTTTCTAGCTCTATAAAAGTCTGTGGTCCTTTATGAAAATGTGTACCTCACGTCACACAGCTAAGGCCATAAATTTGGGCAGTTACACACGGAAGTTCAGACATCCGGCCTAGCCAATCTAGGTGATTTAAATTAAAGTT